TATATATATATATATATATATATATAAATGAATATACATATAAATATACATATATAAATACACAAATAAATAAATATATACAGTATATATAAAATAATATATATATATATATATAAATAGATATATAAATAAATACAGTACATATATATAAATATATCTGTATGTATGTATCTGTATTTTAACAACATCTCTGGCCATCCTTACCTATGGAGTAGGGGGGAGGGGGAAAAAAGAAGCGAAAAAAAGCCTAGACGTAGGTTGTTTTGTTTTTTTGTTTTTAATTGCCTTTTTTTACTTTTCTCTGTAGGCTATGCAGCAAGCAAAAAAAAAATTCACATCCCATTTTTTGATTGATGATAAAGCAATCTTGAATTTTGCGGTTTCGGTAAAAGATGTTGAAGGCCAGGGAGATCGAAAATTTCGCCTTCACGATTCAAGTTTTTACTAGAGCCTATCTACCTAGGCATCTGTCCTTGCGCTATGAATGACTGAATAAAAAATGTTTTTCTAGCTTGCGCTTTATTACAAAAATATAACTTTTGTTGGTTACGCGCGCACACACTGTCACATGTGTAAAACGCGCAAACACTCTTCCTGTCCATTTTTAATACACATGAACTATTTCTGATGGAAGAATAAGGATTTATAATACGTACAGTACCTGTACCAAAAAAAAAAACAAAAAAACAGAAGATCAGATTTTCCCATTCCAAAGTAAGTGACTGTGAAATAGGTTTACTACTTTAAATTTATTGTGATTTATTGTGTTATTTTTGTTATGTGTTTATAGAAATTGTCAGAATAGGTGGCAGAGGCACTTTAAGATAATTAAAATTACAATTAACACATGGACTTGCCTTCCTCATACTTAATGTCCACAAAACCATCAAGTCGCCACTGCTTGCGCTCGGGACACCAGTAAGCCATCTGCGGCTCTTCGCTATACAGGACATCGTCTGGCAGACTGAAATCAAGTTGAACATTATAAAGTAATGAATAAATAAATATCTTTATGTTCACCTTATGTTTTATGTAAATAGATGGATAGATAGATATTTAAAAACCATCATTTTACGATGTTATAATAAAGTGTTCACATAAAACCATGTGTCTAGTGTATTAATTCATGACTTTATGTCTTTTACTTAACTAAAGTACAAGAAAATATTGTAAGATTACCTATACGACAAAGGTATAACTTGGGAATTCCCCTTCATGCCTATTCTAAACAACAGAGCTGCGGTGTTGTCTGGGCGAGCCAACCAATTAGCGTTCGTGTACGTGAAACAAAAAGGGCCGTTTGTTTTAAATATTTTCGGGGTTTTTGATGACGTCATCGTCGATACGAGGCGTACGTAAAACCGAGGGTTCGTTTAACTGGGGTACGTAAAAACGAGGTTTACTGTACAGTGTTTATTTTCAATTCACTAAAGCATGTCCGGTGGTGACGTATGTATTTGCATCGTCGTCGCAAAATCTAAAACAAGAGCTTATCATCTGTGTGGCCAACATTGTTATACGTCATAGATAATTAGCATATCGTCCTGGATTACTCGTCGTCGCATATCTAAAACTCCTTAATAATAATATTAACGATTGAACAAATGAAACAAAAATGTTTACGATATGTGGGACCTACGGCTACAGGACCTGCTCTAGGCCTAGCGCTAGGCCATAATTGAGAGTAGAGAATGCCTCACTTTTTGGCATTACAAGCGACTGCCATTTTAAGTACTGCTTCATACAGTACAGTAGGCCCTACCTGTTGTTTTGCTCTACAGCATATCAAATGTAATTATCAACCAAGAACCCTGTGGGTGTGTACGTTCCTTTGTACGTAAAAACTAAAAGGAAATTTGTAAATTGCGATAATTAAAGTCACCAAAGCAATTCACTGCATTCTACTAAATTTGAAACTAATCAGAGTTTGTCAAATTTTAGTTATCATGGTATGGTAACAATTGACAAAGTGTCCGACCCACTTGTCTTTTCTGATTTTAAACTGAACAAATTAAAATACTTGTACTCTTTATATCTACAACAGAATCCACATATCGAAGAAGAATGATTGAAGAACCATTAAATGGTAGTTGTACACACACACTCGCTCCTAGGCCGGATGACAGAAAGCCCTATCCTTCCTAAGCCTAAAGCTAGGCCTAGGCTGTATAAAAGTTCACCCAGTTTGAAGGGCAATTCTCTATTATTCAGCAGTTATGATTTTTTTTCCCCTTTGAAATAGATTAAAAAGCAAAATCTAATGAGCAAGTACAAAAGACTAGATCTCGAAATGATGCACTGCATGTGGGTGGGAGTTGAATTTTGATAGGTGCTGAAATATGATATTATGAAATAATATCCAAAAACAAAATCCTGCAGTTGATTAAAGGTAAACAAACATAATTAGGGCAAAAAAAAAAAAATACTTGTTTAGCGTCACATCTCAAAAGAAAATCAGGGAAGGGGGGGGGGGGTTAATTTTTCTTATCTGCATATCAAGATTTTGTCTGCACACATGTCCTAATAAAACTTATTAAAATATGACATGAAGTCTTTTAATGAATCAATCACAAATTTTGAAATAGATGAAAAATTTATAACATCAAAAAGTTGAACACCATATACATCAAAGCAAAATACTTTACAAAAATAAACTTGGGTTTAATGTATATTTGTCAATCATTGTAGATTGTAAAGTTAGAGACCTGTTTCATCATACCAAGGCTGAGCACAACTATAGGCAGAAGTAAAAATGATATATAGAGTACTGCTACACTCGTTTGTCATCAAGCAGGAAAATCACTAAGTCTTGTTAGCAAAACAATAGTGTAAGTAGGCATAGGCCTAGTTGCAGTATTCAAATTTTTGGGATTTTTTTTTTTGGAGGAAAAAAATTCAACTTAATATTTCAAACCACATAGTAAGTAGTGTAGAATAAAAACATTTTCAAGAAAAAAAAAATATCAGCATACGAAACTCTGTTATGGAGTTATGATTTTTTAAAAAACATGGTCAAGATGTTAGCCTCAAAGCTTATCTAATTTTTGTTGGTTACGCACCACTGACTTTGGGCTGTCACTTTGACATGTCTACCGATTCGTGGAAAAGGCGATATAACATAAAAAAAACATTGAAGAGGCAGTCTCCATGAATATTAACTCACAGCCTCCTTATATCACTAAGGTAAAACATGTCCTTTGCCCTTCGCTTACAGTAGTCATCATTACGGTATATAATTTTTAGGTCCATACGCATATTCATCATAATTATCAGAATAGGATATTAGTAGTCATTCAATGAATCGAATTGATTGAGAACACACAATACAAAGTGTTCCATACATCGCAGTCGAACTTGTTCGCAGAGGCCTAAACGATCCTCGCTAAGCTTACACCAAAGATACTAGAAATACAAGATAGAGTTCTCCACACAAAAAAAGTGTTCCACCGTGTTCCACCGAAATGCATGGTGGGAATACGAAAAATGGGACGCCCCCTACAGCTGGATCTAAAAAAACTTGTGCCAAACTTTCGTTACCAAGTCGCCGCGTATTTTATTATCAATTCTCAACAAAGATACTAGATATAAAAACTGTTGTTTGTTACAATATCAAGTATAATGAAAGACACTAAAACCAGATTGTAATAACTCAATGGCCGTCTGCTTGACAACCGATTTATTCGCAACTCAACGCTAAACAGCGCCACACGGCGGCTGGATGTGACAACAGGGAAAAAGTTATGTACGTCATACAACATCTCCCTTACTTTATTTTCTTTTAATTTTTTTTTTTTAATTTTTAAAATTTTTTTAATTTATTTATTTATTAATTTTTTTTTTAAATTTATTTCGAACTATAGCATAATTACTTGCATGTTTATGAGATCACAGTATTAATAAACAGAACTTCTCTATATGCCTGTTTGCATTATTTTCTTATGTGCCAATTTGTAGTTTCATATGAATTCTATGAGCCATCCTCTTTATGCTGCTGATGATATCTATTATTAATTCATGTATGCTATTTATTTATTATTATTATTTTTTAAATTTAAATTTAAACATTAACACGAACATAGGAGAAACTCCCTGCTAGAACTTTGTTACAAAGTCCTTGAATCGATTCGGCATAGTTATGGTTCTTTTGGGCTGAGTTGGTATGATTGGTGTTGAAACTTCTGTTTGTTTTGCAGCTAATGGTTGTTGTTGGCTTACTGTGCTCTTGTCACTTGTTGCATTTGGTGTTGCTGGTACTGGGATGTCCGTTGTGGATGTGATGTCTGATTTGTCGGGTGCAACTGTTGGCATTGTTTTAGCTATGTCTCTTGCTGGTGTTGTGCGTAGAAACTTTCTGTTGCGACGATAAACTTTGCCATTTGTAGTTTCTACTAAGTAAGAAGGAGGTCCTACTTTTTTCGTGCAGGTTGTTGTCTGCCACTCTTGGTTGTTGTTTTCAGGCCGGAGTCTGACAGTTTCCCCAATGACAGTTTCTGGTAGCTTTGTTGCACTTTTTGTCATACTGTAGTTTCGATATCTGTTTTCTTTTCTTAATGTGTTCTGAGACTCCAGTAACTACTTGTGGTTGTAGAAGGATTTCTGTTACTGGCAAAATTGTATTTGTTCTTCTAGACAACAGTCGTTGTGCTGGGCTGTGTCCTGCATCGTTTGGTGTGTTTCTCCAGTCGAGAATTGCAAGGTATGGATTGGATCCTACTTTCAAAGTTTTCTTGATCAGTTTCTTGGCAATCTTAACTGCTGCCTCTGCATTCCCATTAGTCTGACTGTGATAGGGAGAGCTGGTCACATGGTTGAACTCCCCATGTCTTTGTGAATTCAACAAATTCTCGGCTAACCCACTGTTTCCCATTGTCTGTGATCAGTGTTGATGGTATTCCTTGTAGAGCGAAGTGCATTTTGCTGCATTCAATGATTGTTTTAGATGTTAGATCTTGTAATTCATCCAGAAACCACACATCACTGTAGTGATCTACTGTTACAAGGTAATCTTTGCTCTTATACGTAAGTATGTCTTGAGAGATTATTTCCCATGGTCTGGTAGGAATAGGGTATGACATCATTGGCTCTTTCTTCTGCTTGTCTTGGTAAGTTTGGCAGATCTGGCAGTTGTCTACTATTTCTCTGATGTCTGCTGACATTCATGGCCAGAATAAACTGTCTTTAGCTCTTCGAATTGATGCTTCAGCACCCAGATGGCTTGAATGAGTCTTTTGCAACAGATTTTTTCTGTCTATAAGACACCATCTTGGGCTGTTATTTCTTCTCGATAATTAAAGTGTTCTCGAATATTGATTGGACTTTTGCTTTGGTCTCTGGCCAACCGTTCTTGATCATCTCCATCAGTGTTTGGCTTTGACTGTCCCTAGCTGTTGCTTGCTTCAGCAGGTACTGGGTTGGCTTACTAACATTGATGTAGTCAGCTGCATTTATCTGTTCAATTTCTTTAAATATTTTGTCTTCTTTCTCATGTCCTTGTAAGTATGCTCTGCTTAACCAATCCGCTATGTACATCTTACTGCCCTGCAAATACTGGATGTCTAATTTATATTTCTGCAACCTTAGCAGCATCCGTTGTAATCGCTTTGGTGCTTTGGATATAGGCTTCTTGTGTATAGCTACCAAAGGCTTATGATCCGTGTGTACCGTGATCAATTCCCTGGCATAGATGTACTCATCAAATCTTTCACAAGCAAACAGTATACTGAGTAACTCTTTTTCTACTTGAGCATAATTTCTTTCTGCTCCTGTTAATCCTCTGGATGCGAATGTTACTGGATGTCCATTTTGAATAGAGTAGCACCTAACCCTGATTCTGAGGCATCAGATTGTATTGTTACTTCTTCTTTGATGTTGTAGTATTGCAGTACAGGTGCTGTAGTCAACATCTGCTTTATCTTGTTGAATGCCTCTGTGTGATGCTCCATCCAGTTAAAATGTGCCTCCTTG